GCCATCTTGGATGATGGATCGGCTACAAAGTAACAACACTTGGTTAGCACCTCATAAGGAACATTCATGTCATGTTTGGTTTCATTCCATTCAGTGAAAATTTTCTCCAAGGGTGTTCTCTCAAATTTTGAACATTGACACCTTTCAGAATTGATGCACTTCTAATCCAAATGCCTTAATACGTTTTTTCATTTTAAGATTAAGTCTCTTAATGCATTGATCAAAAGTTAAAGCTGCTCCTCATCTCAACCTTCCTTTTCTTTTAACTTGCAAAATTCTTATGTACTAGTTAAACATCTACATATTGTAATAGCTATATCTTATAATCTATAGCTGTATATATCAAAAAGCATTTTCAATAAAACAATATAACAGTGTATTTAAACAAAATTTATGATTTAATAACTTAAGATACAATGTACATGTACCTTTTTTTTTATATTGGAGTAACAACATGAACAACAAGTTATAATTAAAAACTTAACCAACATTAATCATTAAAATTCAATTACTTTTTATAAACATAATTAGAAATAGAGATCTTCAACATAAATGAACTATTTACAATCAGAATAAATATATATCACAGTTGTTGGAACTATATATCACAGATGTTGAAACCAGTATATCACAGATGTTGAAACTACGGTATATCACAGATGTTGAAAGTAGGGTATATCACAGATGTTGAAACTATATCACAGATGTTGAAACTATATCACAGATGTTGAAACTATATCACAGATGTTGATTTAATGTATACAGGATGGGTTAATAGCAATCACTCAACTAACTGTCCAGAAACTGTTATCAAAGAATCAGTAACCGAAGATTAAACAAAGGTATGTTGAGAAAGTCCTCCTGAGCTGTAAAGAAATGTAGACAGTTCCCATGTATAAAGCTGTATCAGTTCTGAAACTGCCAGTAAAATAGTTGCATGTACATGTACCTACACTTTCTTTAAAAAAAATATAAAAAAAACAATTGATAATCTTTGCTTATGTTAATGATTGGAAGTAACTTTTTGACAGTAAAATAAGTTTTAATGTGCAAGTGTCATAGTGTAGGGAGGAACATTTTTTTGGTTTATAATTCAAATGAAAAATATTCTATTTTCCCACCCTCAACTACTAATCACAGATCAACTAAGCCAGTTAGCCATCAGGTTTTTAATTTTTTAATTTTAATGGAAGACATTTTTTAAGTTTTTAAAAAGTTACAGATATTATATATATAGGAAATCACTTTTTATAGAAAAGATAGGAGTTTTTCTGTTTATCATTTTTCTTAACATGCTTTGAATAAAACAATCAATTTTATACATTGCTATAAGTATTCCCCATTTCCATTCTCAATTTTATTGATAAATCTACATTTAAAAATATCTTTAATAAGTAAAAATTATGGAGTGTTCATGTTACTATTTTACTGGCATGAAAGAAAGACATCACTGTTCCATCTCTTCAAGTGGCGAAATCAGTGGTTCACTGAGGTTCCGGTGGTTAAAAATGGAGAAGCACCGAAGACAGACATTCTTCGCAAGAGCAGGTTTTGTGCAACACCTGTTGTGTACCCACTGATCACAAGCATCACACTGAAACCAGGATATATACTTGTCCTTTTGAATAGGCTTGGGTGGTTCAGTGCTACCACAGGTATTGCACAAAATCTCATCAGCATCATTGATGGTATCAGAGACACTGTCCTCAAAGTCATTGTCATTTTCAACGTCATTCCCCTCCTCCTCCCCCTCTGAAAACATGTAAGGAATTGTCCTTTGACTGTCTTGGCTGTCATTGTCCGTCATGTCAATCACCACTGGATCGACGTCTTCGTCTCTGATGCCATCAAGTTTACTGAGCTTTTCCTCAAACTCCCTTTCCACATGAGTCTCAAATTTAGCCCAGCGCTCCGCATCGATATGGGACTTGGCCTCCTCAAAAAGCTTGATAATGTCTTTTTTCTTGCAGCTAGAATTATGTCTAGCTACATAGCCTTTTAAGTAAGACCAAACCATTTCGATGGGATTGAGCTCACAATGGTAAGGAGGTGTTCGTAAAATCTCATGGCCATTAGCTGATGCAAGTTCGTCTATAATATACCTAGGAAGAGGTTTGTGTTGCTTCACCAAATCAAGCAGCTCGGCCTTTTTCATTTTCTTATCATACTGAACAATGCTCTTCTCCAGCCATGCCGAGATCTCTGACTTGTTGCTGTTAGTGTTTGGTACCCTTGAGTCAGGATCTAAGTGACTGTGATACGGAGCATTGTCCATTATGATTACAGACCGAGGAGGCAGTTTAGGGAGAAGTGTATCTCTGAACCACTCTGTAAAGTGCTCCTTATTCATCTCGTCATGATAATCAGAGCTGTTGGTTTTCGACTCAAATATAAGACCACATCCGGGGATTAGGCCTTGTTGAGAGGAGCCAACATCTAGGATTATCAATCTAGTACCCTTGCCAGAAGGGACTTTCCGATGGGTACCTTTACAGTGGGGCTCAAAGACAGACATGGACGTGCTGGGAACATCCAGCCAGTCACCCTTTACCACATGATTAGTGTTCAACCAAGTCTCATCTAGATATACAATATGACGCCCCTGCTGCCTAAACTTACGTATCTTACGAAGATATGTCATTCTCATGAGAACGATGTCCTCCCTCTCCGACACAAATCTTCGGCTTGACGCATTCTTGTAGAACCTGAAAAAAAAAATTATATACATTCACAATTGCATAACATTTAAGGGTTATTACACTGAAACATAATTGGGGCACAAAGAACGTACTTTTAAATCTCAACTAAAAGTGGGTGTCAATAACATTCTATATTTGTCGCTTTAAGAGGATACCACATTTTGAAAGAGACTTCTGCAGGTTTATGTTTAAAAGGAACATTATAATAGTGATTGATGCATGTGATTTATTTTTCACATATGTTTAATAATTTGTAGCTATAAATTTGAATTGTGGTTTATTTGTTTTCAGACTATTTTGCTGATGACTACAGAGCAAAAAAATATTTCCAATATGTATAGATATGTACTTCAATACTGAAATGTGTATTTAATGCAGGTAAATATTTCATTAATTCAAGTTATGAAAGTGTTTCAGATTTTTGAATCAATGATTTTTATGTTGTTTGTGCTGTATTTAGACACCTCTACCAAGAAATTTGTTTTGCATGCACACATACAAAAATAGAGGTTTTTATCCAACGCAATCATAGGTTTGAACGAAGTTTTCAATTTAGACTTGTGTGTATATATAATTGATAATTAAACATGTTAAAAGAGATGATTTAAGATACATGTACTACAAAACAATGGATTAAGTCCAAACATTATGAATGAAATTAATTACCGAAACCCCAGTAAACGCACTGTTCTCGACACTGTTGATATGGAAACGTCGATGTCTTTCTTTTTCAGAGCTTGCTGCAGACTTGGCATGGTCACTGACTGGGATTTCTTGTGCAGATCATAGATGGTCCTTCTCACCACACCTTTGTCGAAATCATCCAACTTCTGGTTCTTCTTGACAGTTTTCTGGACAGCAGCCTTATGAACTGCCTTCACCACATCCTGCACAGCATCATCACTGGCATCTGTATGGACATAACGTCGCAGTGTTGTTGGTTTAATCCCTGAAATTTCAATTGTCCATGTATTTCAGCATATAATATAAAAATGATAGAAAAAACTTGTATATAATTGTATAGAGTGGATTCAAGGTGGTTGGGGGCATTTATATATCTTCTTGTTTGCATAGTCATAAAAAATTGTTGTTCGACTTGCATAGCTTGACAATATATTTAAGGAATAACAGTACTGTAGTTGAAGAGTTGCCACCGTCAATTGTCGATTTGACGATCGCAAATGCAGTTTTACTGGTGATGCGTAGCGGAGACAGTAATACGGAAATTTCAACCGTCAAATCAAAATTGACGGTGGCAACTCTTCAACTACAGTACTGTTATTCCGATTCTAATGCAATACAAAAAGAAATAATACGTTAGAGCTTGACAAAATGTATAAATTTCACATACAAAAAAATCCGCGAAACTTCTTGAATGATTTTGGCGCAAAAACGTCATGGCTAAGTGTGACGTCATTCAAATGAAAACTGACAAACTGAAGGTTATTACGTTACCTCTACGATTTAAATTCGGATAAAATCACATTAAAACGGCGAATTGGTTGTAGGTTTTGTTTTATTTTCGATAATATTGTAGTAATCGAACATTTGTTGATCCAATCAATTCAAAATGGCGGATCCCTCCTTAGTTAAGCCTGGTCAACTGTGGATTTGACGGTAACTTTTAGCCAATGAAAAAAATTGTTACATAAAAATTGCATTAGAATTCAAGTTTTCTTATCACCACTTAAATATTTATTAGATTTGCCCCAATTACATTATCTGAAACTTATCCTAATGTACACGTGATTCATCTAAAATTACTATATTTGGTGTATGTGGAAGGATTGGAATGGAACTCATGTCCAAGGGTACATCTGACCCTCGCTTCATTTTCATGTTTAATTGCTGATGTGTATTTACAGTTAACTGTTTTACCTGCAAATTTGCTATTGATGCCTTGACCTTATGAATTGATATTTATGAGGTTGAAAATATCTTTCATCAAGTTTTATCTATAGACATCATTTGGTTTGCACAATTATATGTTATTAAAAATAACAAGACCCCAATAATTGAGGTCTCCAACAAAGTTTGTCTGCTTTAAAATCATAATTGTTGATTTTATGCAAATAATTTTTCTTTTTTTTTCAGTTATGTAAAACTGAAATTTTTTTAAAAAAAATAAGTTAATTTTACCTGTTGCCTTTACTAGTCTTTTAATGGGATTTTGAAGTGCCCATGGTTTATTTTTCTCCTTCTCTCCCACAAAGAATTGGTAAACTTTCCTCAATAATTCTTTTGTCTGAAAAAAAAACAACAACATTTTGTATATGATCAAAGGGAGGTAATCCATATAGTAAGAATGGGATGTGATTGTTCTATATAAGATTCTTGTTACGTTTCATTTTTTAAAATGCAGAGGGTTTGGTAAAAATGACAGTGCACAAAGATTAAATTATGTACATGTAGTTATGTATAAAGATTGGAGTTGAATTTTTGTTATCGTGTAATGATCTTTGTATAAATGTTGTCGCTGATTAAACCAATTTTTAAGGTTATTTATAATTGCAAGACACTGACATGTTGTATGGCATTCTTAATCAACAGTTATCATTTATAATTATATATTATTGTTGTATACTAGTATATCAAAATATTTGTTCTAATGTAGCTGTGAAATTGATTTAAGGTACTGCATTTGTAGTAAAATTTAAATAATTTGAAAGATTTCTAATTTGTTCTAAGCACTTCTTGGTGATATTTATATTTTTCTTTTGTTGTAATTTTGTGAGTACATTATTAATTGTATTATTATGGTAGCTGTTTATTCCTTCATTACCATCAGTCATATAAGGCAGTATGGACGAGGTTTACAAATTAAAAGATAATGGAAAAGCATGGTGATTAAGAAAAAGAAAGGAAAATAGAAAACTTTTTTTTTTACTAAAAGATAAAAAAAATAATTATGTGTTAAAATTTAAAGAATATATAACAATGGCTTGAAATTAATCATATAAATGAACACCACCCTATTCAGACCCTCATATGTAACTGGTAACCCAAACTATGTAGGAGTGTTGCCTTTCCTGTTAAAGAATTATGAGCAAAAAGTAGTTCTTGTTTTCTATGTCTTTTTATGCCCCGCCATAGTGGAGGGGTCATTAAGTTTTAACCTTGTCCATCTGTATGTTCGTCCCTCCGTACATCCCAAAAAAGTTTTCCGTTCTCTAAATTTAGTTTGCCTTAACCAAATTTTATGAAACTTATCCACAATGCTTATTACCACAAAACACAGATTGAGGTTTAATTTTGCTTTTACTATTCTAGAGTTATGCCCCTTTACAAATGGAAAAACTGCTGAATTTTATGTTTCTGTTCTCTAACTAAAGTTTGCCTCAACCAAATGTTATGAAACTTTGACACACTGCTTATTACCACAAAACTCAGATCAAGAAGAAATTTGGGTAGCGTCACTTTTACAGTTCTTGAATTATAGCCCTTAACTTTATATGCAAGTGGGGGCATCATCTGTGTCCCATAGACACATTCCCTGTTTATTTTTTTCTTATTATAAAATACCCATTTATAGGGAAATGTTCCGGCCTTTACCAGTTCTTAAATTTAAACCGATACTGTATGGATTCTTAACACTGCATAATAATAAAATTAACAGAAATGGATGCTGGTGGGAGACTAGAGCTTGAAACTCACCTCCAACACTCAAACATATTTAACAGGAGAATTAATGTTGTTTTGTTTTGTATTTTTCTTTTGGGGGGTGGGAGGGGGGATATTAAATTCCGCCATACTAAGTCCTTTTTATACGCCCCCAAAAATTTTTGCGGTCGTATATTGGTATGACGTTGGCGTCGTCGTCTGAAGACACATTGGTTTTCGCACTATAACTTTAGTTTTAAGTGAATGGATCTCTATTAAATTTTACAATAAGGTTAAATACCACAAAAGGAAGGTTGGGATTGATATTGGGGGTTATGGTACCAACAGTTAGGAATAATGGGCCAAAAAGGGGCCAAAATAAGCATTTTCTAGTTTCCAGACAATAACTTGTGGAAAGGTGTATGGATCTCTCTGAAATTATACCACAAGTTTCCATACCACAAAGGGATGGTTAGGATTTGCTTTGGGGGGTTATGGCTCAAACTGTTTAGGAATTAGGGGCAAAAAAGGGGGGAAAACAAGGTTGTCCTGGTTAATGGACAAATACTTTAGTACAAAACATTATTTAAAGCAGTGTAAGGGAGATAAATCAAATACATCATTTGAATTACCTCCCTTACACTGATTTTAAATTATGTATAAAGTAATGGTTAATGTACAATTAAGACAATTTAAAACAGTGTGAGGGAGGTAATCCAAATACAACGTTTTGATTATTTCCCTTACACTGCTTTTAAATTATGTTTAAAGAAATGCATATTTATTAAGGAAGACCAGTAAAAATATCTGCAAATGTTGCATCTTTTTTTTTTACCAAAAAATCCATATGAAAGATTTGACACCATATTTTAAATTCTATTATAAAATAGATTAAGTTAGCACTATGGTAAATTTAAATGGGTAATTATGGTTGCAAACTCCATTGGAAATTTAATTTGAATTGAGATTATCACCATATCTTGAGGGAAAGAATTTTTTTGGGGAAAGGGGTGGGGGGGGGGGGGGGGGGGGGAGTTAAAAGAAATTGTGGGGTCAATTTTGTCTTATTTCAGATTTCAGAAGTTAAAAGAATTATTCTTCAAATATTATCTTTTTTTTCAAATTTCAAATATTGAAAAATTTCAAGAAGTAATCTTTAATTGCACAGTATGGCGCATTAGATTTGTAAAATCTTTGACAACATGTATTTATTTGTTTATTTGTTATGCCGAATCTGACCGTGTAGTTAGATTTTTAATTTTGGGTCCAGTTTTCAAATTGGTCTACATTAATTTAAGGTCCAAAGGGTCCAAAATTAAACTTAGTTTGATTTTAACAAAAATTGAATATATGGGGTTCTTTGATATGCTGAATCTAAACATGTATTTAGATTTTTGATTTTGGGCCCAGTTTTCAAGTTGGTCCAAATTGGGGTCCAAAATTAAACTTTGTTTGATTTCAACAAAAATTGAATATTTCGGGTTCTTTGATATGCTGAATCTAACCCTGTATTTAGATTTTTTATTTGTGGGCCCCGCTATCAAATTGGTTCATTTTGAGGTCAAAAGAGTCCAAAATTAAACTTTGTTTGATTTCATCAAATATTGAATTATTTGGGTTCTTTGATATGCCAAATCTAACAGTGTATTCAGATTTTTAATTTTGGGTCATGTTTTTTAAATTGGTCTACATGAAGGTCCAAAGGGTCCAAAATTAAACTTAGTTTGATTTTAACAAAAATGGAATTCTTGGGGTTCTTTGATATGCTGAATCTAAACAGGTGTTTAGATTTTTGATTATGGGCCCAGTTTTCAAATTGGTCCAAGATGGGGTCCAAAATTATACTTTGTTTGATTTCAACAAAAATTGAATATATGGTGTTCTTTGATATGCTGAATCTAACCATGTATTTTGATTTTTGGGCCACATTATCAAATTGGTCCACATTGAGGTCAAAAGGGTCCAAAATTAAAGTTTGTCTGATTTAAAAAAAAATTGGATTCTTTGGATTCTTTGATATGCTGAATCTAACCATGAAGTTTTATTTTTGGGCCAATTTAGATTTTTGATTTTGGGCCCAGTTTTCAAGTTGGTCCAAATTGGGGTCCAAAATTAAACTTTGTTTGATTTCAACAAAAATTGAATATTTCGGGTTCTTTGATATGCTGAATCTAACCCTGTATTTAGATTTTTTATTTGTGGGCCCCGCTATCAAATTGGTTCATTTTGAGGTCAAAAGAGTCCAAAATTAAACTTTGTTTGATTTCATCAAATATTGAATTATTTGGGTTCTTTGATATGCCAAATCTAACAGTGTATTCAGATTTTTAATTTTGGGTCATGTTTTTTAAATTGGTCTACATGAAGGTCCAAAGGGTCCAAAATTAAACTTAGTTTGATTTTAACAAAAATGGAATTCTTGGGGTTCTTTGATATGCTGAATCTAAACAGGTGTTTAGATTTTTGATTATGGGCCCAGTTTTCAAATTGGTCCAAGATGGGGTCCAAAATTATACTTTGTTTGATTTCAACAAAAATTGAATATATGGTGTTCTTTGATATGCTGAATCTAACCATGTATTTTGATTTTTGGGCCACATTATCAAATTGGTCCACATTGAGGTCAAAAGGGTCCAAAATTAAAGTTTGTCTGATTTAAAAAAAAATTGGATTCTTTGGATTCTTTGATATGCTGAATCTAACCATGAAGTTTTATTTTTGGGCCCTGTTATCAAATTGGTCCACATTGAGGTCAAAAGGGTCCAAAATTAAACTTTGTTTGATTTCATCAAAAATTGAATTCTTTGGATTCTTTGATATGCTGAATCTAACCATGTATTTAGATTTTGGATATTGGACCATTATAGGTAAATTAAAAATTTATAAGTTCTTAGACCAGATTCATTCTGTGTCAGAAACCTATGCTTTGTCAAATATTTAATCACAATTCAAATTCAGAGCTGTATCAAGCTTGAATGTTGTGTCCATACTTGCCCCAACTGTTCAAGGTTCGACTTCTGCAGTCGTATCAAGCTGCGCCCAGCGGAGCGTTTTATTATGTTGTATATTGGTATGACATTGGCGTCGTTTTCCGAAGACACATTGGTTCCCGCACAATAACTTTAGTTTAAGTGCATGGATCTCTTTGAAATTTTACCATAAGGTTCAATACCACAAAAGGAAGGTTGGGATTGATTTTGGGGGTTATGGTACCAACAGTTAAAGAATTAGGGGCCAAAAATAAGCATTTTTGTAACTTCCAGACAATATCTTGTGTGTTAGTGTATGGATCACTCTAACATTGTACCACAAGGTTCCATATCACAAAGGGAATGCTGGGATTGATTTTGGGGGTAATTGCCTCAAAATTTTAGAAATTAGGGGACAAAAAAGGGGCAAAAAGACAAGCATTTTTCTAGTTTCATGACAATAACTTGTGTGTAAGTGTATGGATCTTTATGAAATTGTACTACAAGGTTCCATGTCACAAAGGGAAAGCTGGGTTTGAGTTTGGGGGTAATTGCCCTAAAAGTTTTGGAATTTGTGGCCAAAAAGGGGCAAAACAACAAGCATTTTTCTAGTTAATAACTTGTGTTCAAGTGTATGGATCTCTCTGAAATTGTACTGCTAGGTACCATACCACAAAGGGAAGGCTGGGATTGAGTTTGGGGTGATTAATCATTAGGGGGGTTTAAAATTGGGGGGGGGGGATTTTTCCCCCCTTTTTTTTCTTTAAAATTTTCCATTTTAAGTTGGTTATTTCTGATTTATATATAAAAGCAAATAATAATGATATGGTTTGATTTCATCAAAAATTGAAATATTGGGGTTCTTTGATATGCTGAATCTAACCGTGTATTTAGATTCTTAATTTTTGGTCCCGTTTTCAAATTGGTCTACATTAAGGTCCAAAGGGTCCAAAATTAAACTAAGTTTGATTTTAACAAAACTTGAATTCTTGGGGTTCTTTGATATGTTGAATCTAATCATGTATTTAGATTTTTGGCCCAGTTTTCAAGTTGGTCTAAATTGGGGTCCAAAATTAAACTTTGTTTGATTTCAACAAAAATTGAATAAATGGGGTTCTTTGATATGCTGAATCTAACCATATATTTTGATTTGTTATTTGTGGGCCCCGTTATCAAATTGGTCCACATTGAGGTCAAAAGGGTCCAAAATTAAACTTTTTGTTTGATTTCATCAAAAATTGAATTCTTTGGATTCTTTGATATGCTGAATCTAACCATGTATTTAGATTTTGGATATTGGACCATAATTAGTAAATTAAAATTTTTTAAGTTCTTAGACCACATTCATTCTGTGTCAGAAACCTATGCTCTGTCAAATATTTAATCACAATCCAAATTCAGAGCTGTATCAAGCTTGAATGTTGTGTCCATACTTGCCCCAACTGTTCAGGGTTGGACCTCTGTGGTCGTATCAAGCTGCGCCAAGCGGAGCATTTTATTAATATTTGGGAAAACATTCATGAACTAATAGTTTATGCTTCATTTTCCTTGACCCCTTGGCTCCATCTCTTAAAAAGGGTCAGTCAAATGTGTTTGCATATCATTGATATGTAGCAAAGTATTTTTATTGGTATTAATATTGATTTTGTTATCAGTAAATTAAAATCAAACTAAATATTATGGTTATACAAATATGTAATTTCATGGATCTACAATTTTGTTGATACCTGTTTCTTGGCATTGCACAGGGTCATGTTTTTATTGGATGTTGGATGTGTACAGTTTGACAATATCGTCTTAGATGCATGACTGTTGTCGAGCCTGCAGCTTTTGTCGCAGAAAGCTTGACACAGGGATAGTGATATGGCGGTGGCACTAACTAATTTCTTTAAAGCTTTATATTTAAGAAGGTAGAATACCTGGATCCTTCATACTTTGTATATAGATGCCTTATGTTATGGAGTTTCAGTATGTCATATGTCCATTGACCTTTACCTCATTTTCATGGTTCAGTGACTACTTGAAAAAAAGTTAAGAAATTTTAGTATTCTTAATTTCTCTCTTATTATGAGTAAAATGATAACTTTGTTTGGTATGTCCATACCTTGCAAGTGTCTCAGACAGTTTTGACGATGACGTCATTTAATAGATCAGTGAACAAGGTTAAGTTTTGGTGGTCAAGTCCATATCTCAGATACTATAAGCACAAGGTCAACTATATTTGGTGTATGGAATGATTGTAAGGTGTACATGTCCAACTGACAGGTGTCATCTGACCTTAACCTCATATTCATGGTTCATTGGTCAATGATCAGTTTTCCTGGTTTAGTTTGTTTCTTATATTTGCAATAGGTAGACTACATGTATATTTAAAGCATATTTGGTATATGGAATGATTGTAAGGTGAACATGTATTTCAAGTTTGGTTTATCTGACTTTTGACCTCATATAATTGGATTATGTTATGTTTATGTGATAGTTGTAGTAAAGCTTAATAATTAGAACTATCAACATAATATCAATGGTTAGTAAAGAAGAAGAGACATTTCAATGAGCACTCTTGTATTTATTAGTTGTTATTGGCTTTGAACTAGCTGTCAGTAACTGCTAGTACTCTGAGATCTGTACTTAGTGTCTTTTTGGTTGTTGGGATGTACAAGTACACTGCCATGTTTACTTTATGTTTTTATACGCCCATTTGCGGGACGTCACATATTATGGTATACCGTTGTCCGTCTGTCCATCCGTCGTCAACATGTCGGACATTAACTCAAAAACGCTTTACCCAATTTGCATAAAACTTTGGTGATATGTTTATATCTATTGAAGTGAGCTCCCTTTCAATTTTTATAAATTTTAGATTTTATGTTTCTGAGTTATGGGGTTTTATTCATTAAAGAAAGGGGGATTTTCCAGTTTTCGGACAATATAAACTTAAGAATGCTTTCACCAACTTGCAAGAAATTGTGGTGAATTGTTTATATCTATTGACATGAGCTCCCTTATGATTTTTATATTTTTAAGATTTTACGTTTCCAAGTTGCAGGGTTTTATTCATAAAAAAAGAGTGATTTTCCAGTTTTCAGACAAATAATCAAAAATGCTTTCAGTAGTTCTTAGGAAACTTGGTGAATTGTTTATATCTATTGATGTAAGCTTTGTTTAGAATTTTATAAATTTCACATTTTACATTTCTGAGTTATTGGGTTTTATTCATTAAAAAAGGGGGGATTTTCCAGTTTTGGGACAATAACTCAAAAATGCTGTCAGCAATTCTCATGAAACTTTGGTGAATTGTTTATATCTATTGATGTAAGCTCCTTTACATTTTAATAAATTTCTAATATGACACTGAGAATTAATTGAACTTTAATTGTTTATAGTCTGACAACAGATTTACTAAGTATTGCGCAACACTACAGTCTATTGCACAGCAGCAAGAAATCTTTAATTGAATATAAATTCAATTCATATAACCAATTTCAAGTTCTTTGACTACATTTATTCAGAAACCTATAATATGTCCAATATTTAATACACTTCAAATTCAGACATGTATCAAGCTTGAATATTGTGTTCATTTTTGCCCCAACTGTTCAGGGTTGGACCTATGCAGGCGTATCCAGCTGCGCTCAGCGAAGCAGTTTATTGTTAGAAGTATTTCTATTTGTATCCATCTAATGAATTCAGCCTTTTTTTCATGATTTTATAGTTTGTTCTTATATTGTACTGTTACACCACCGTCTAAGGTCAGGGGAGGGTGGGATCCCACTTACATGTTTAACCTTGCCACATTCTGTATGTATGTGCCTATTCAAAGTCAGGAGCCTGTAATTCAGTGGTTGTTGTTTGTTGCTGTGTTACATATTCGTATTTTTTCATTCATTCGTTTGTAGATTTATTAGGCATGGAGTTTTCTGGTTTGATTTGTCTTACAATTGTCATTTCAGGGTCTTTTATATTTGACTATGCGGTATGGGCTTTGCTCATTGTTGAAGGCCGTACAGTGGCATATAGTTGTTAATTTTTATATAGTATAACAGATTACTATAATTATGATAATTTGAATTTTATTGACTTTATTTTTAAGGTGAACATGAATGAAGCTAGAAATATTAAAATTTAAGGCCTGTTTCTCAAAAATACTATGTGAATATTTAAATTAAAAGGGAAGGGGGGGGGGGGGGGGGGGGGGGGGGTATGTTTATTTCTTACAAAAGTATTCTGATTCCAAATTTGATGAAGAAAAAAATATTGTCAAGCAGAACAAAAATTTTGAATCCAGATTTCCCCATACCTTAAATTTAGAAAAAATAATAAAAATAATTAAATTGTTATTGTCGAAAAAAAATATACCCCCCCTCCCCCCAACCCACCACTTTTGAAGTGACATGGTTACTCCCCTAGTGTAACCAGAAAAAGTAACTGTTATACTGTTGGGCTGTTTTAGCTCTTTGATTGGGTTGTTGTCTCTTTCACACATTCTCTGTATCATTCCCAATTTCATGACAATTTGCTTTTGTGTCATTGATATTAATGATCTGTGAAGTATGATTTCTCAAGAGGTTGTGGGTTTGTCTTTGATCTCATTTTGATTTTTACTGCATACTTGAAAAATTGATTTTGCAGCTTTAAATTTAATCATGTTGCACAGCATTAATGATTAGGGTTCAAGACTGGACTGGTTGACATTGAGTCAGCTAAATGTATGTGTATAAGGTAGGTTTAAAATTTTCAAGTTCTGATTGATAGGGATGGACATAGTCACAGGCATAGGTAAAGGAACAGAGATTCAGGGACTTACTGTCCAGCACTCTGTTGTCACTGATTTGGAGAGAGAAAAACCTGCACCATTTGTGCAATTCTACTATGCATTTAAACACTTAGGTTCAGTAATATTAACATGGACAGTCGACCTTCGGGCTTCCCATGGATAGAAGCAAGTGCCTGTGTTATGAACAGTTCCCAGATTATTTGTCTGCTTTTTTTTTTATTTGTTTTGTGTTTAAATTTCGTATTTCTTTTTATTTCTTTTGTTTAAAAGTATTTACCTGTAGGTTTCTGACTACATTTTTGTTTTTAGGTGGCATTTTTAGTTTGGAATAATTATAGTTCGATAAATTCAGTAATATTTATAGTTTCTTCTTTGTTTATGGTAGTCTATCGTCTGCTATAGAATATTTCTCTGGACTTACCTTATAAATGATGAAAAGATCCGAGTGGCCCCGAAAAATATGCAAATTGCCTGAACGTGAAACTCCACGGCAACACTTCCGGTAATAACAATGTCGGATTCCACCATTGAAAACAATCTAGGATAATGTGAAGGTCAGGATTATACAGTGCAAACACAATCAAAGGTAGGACAGTTGTGGATATTTGGAAAGGATTTTTATTCCGCTTATTGAAAAACGTCATCTCGAGTGAACGCGGCTGATATTTAAAAAAATTTCGACAAAAAACACGGTGCCAATTTTACATGACGGCGACTATAGTGTTATGTTTATTAAGTAAACTAAATAACTATAAATTTGTCTCATTCTATACAGTACTACTGAATAGACTCAAATTGTAAAGAAGCCTCAACCAATGGATACTACTTTAAATGGTAAATCATGAACTTGCGAATAAATGATAATAAGAAAGATTCGAGCTCATAACAGTTTCTTCTAAAACATAAAGAGACCTATGTCAGTGCAGTTTTTAAGAGCTAAATTAATAAAAAAAAAAATTGGAACACAAATAAGTCACAGTTCATATAATTATGAAAAATGTCCAATTGCATTCAATAAGAGTGATTAAAATGTAAGCTTGTAAGTGGAAATGACAAGACTTTTAGGTTTCAATTTTAAATATGTCATATTTGTATTAACTTTTACAGGTTTCCTTAATCAAAAAATTATAACTTTAAACTATTATCAATGAATGATTTGTTCCAGTCATCTTGCTTTTAGCTTGCGCACAGACAATAGAAAATTACCATACCTTTTTGTTTCAGTTAACGTCAAACATTTAACTAAAAGAATAAAAATTATTAATTTAGTCACAGCTAATTGACCTAAATTCGCCGTTGTGTTTTTTCAAACAAACACTAAACGTATGGGTTCACATGCATGTCGACATCGATGTGTGATAAAAACCTACAATGTCAAAAATATTTCTTTCCTTCTGAACTTAGTTCACATGGAGTTTCATACGGGGTGACAGAATGTGACTTGAAATATACTCTTAACTTTGAGAAACTTATTGAGTTTTTTACTTCTGTTAGAATATATACATGTAATCTTTGTTTATCTGTGATAACAGAAAAAAAACTAACAGACAATTTAGCATGATTTTTAACGTATTTGTTTTAGGACGGCCAATTTGGGTTTTATTTTCTTTTATAATGAGACACATACTTAAGAGATAGTAGGACATCTATTTCTGACTCCAACGTCAAGTAAGAAACAGGAAGCTTTCCGAATTGCCGCCAATTTTATTTAAACGCGAAAACAACCCAACTTCATAATGGCGGGCTTCATTATTGTCTTTAGAAATTAGCAACAACGGTCGTTTCTAAGGACTTGCTTTCCTACTGTATCAGCGTCTTTTATCAAAATTACTTCCACCTACTTACAATGTTTTTAATGGCGTCTATGTTAAATTTATTTATATGTTTGTCTGTTTTTTTTAGTCAGTTGTGTTGTATG